CTCACACACACACGCTTCAAATGAAGTTGCATAAATGCTTGAGCTACGTTTTTATTATAATTACTGTGAAATCTGCCTATTATGTTTTCGTCATTATTACAACAAACACACACTTGCAACTGATAACACTGGCAATGATTTTAGATGTATTAGACTATTAAAAAAAGAAATCATGCTTCAAATAAGTGGGGGTACGGCGTACCCCCGCGTCCAACGCCCACTACTCCACTGACTGCAACTACAAAAAGCTAAGGTTTGTTTTCTCATCAGGAAATGCAGACCGGCTCAAACAAAAGATTTTTAAATCATCATCCTCACGATCATTTAATGTATCATATGTTCGCCGAATTGACATGAAAGCACTAATAAATGTAGTTTCATCCACTTGAGTTTACAAAAATAATCGATTTGTTTTTATACCACATCCGACGGGAGGAAATTCAGCAGCTCTCACTACCGATTTTTAATCCTAATTTAATCATCATCTTCACCACGATCATTTATGTTTATGTTCGCCGAATTGACATGAAAGCACTGACAAATATGAATATACTGTAGTCAACTTCATTAAAACGTTATTAACGTGTCTAAACTCAGTAATTCACCATTTCTACGCATGACAACACACTTTGTCCGTGTTTGGCTCTCTCGCCGCACAGTGAAGCGTTCCCGCATTGACGTCACATCCGGCTTCCCCCAAAACCTCAAAATGAGTCGAAGGAATTTTCCCGCGATGTTCGAAATTATTGATATTTATCGGAACGGTATCGCTTTTTCTTTTTTAAACTGACGGTTCGAGATTACTAGTAGCCCACTATTTCATTGCACAACAGTTGTTGGGTTCGTGTCACAGGCTCTTTAACTATCCACGTAGTCGCAGAAGTTGCACTGTTTTGTGTCCTTTAACCTTAAACCTTTCTTTTTAAAGCTGATTTTCTTCTCATCTTGTATAGAAGCCCAGGTGCAAACAACCCACTGCAGGGGACAAAGACGGAGTCGACAAAATGCTCTCGACCCTCATTACATCAAGAGTCTATAAGCTTCATGAAGGGAGTGATGGATGAATGCACACACATGGCCAACTTCTCTGGTGAGTTTTAAGGTGCAGAGGGGTTACCTTGGGTGGTTATTGGCTAATGGTTACACAACCCATAAAAACATTGTGACATCACAAAGTGGCCAAAATCTGATCAGCTGATTTTCAGAGAGGTTTTTATATGAATGGATCAGGACAAGAAGAGAGGCGGTCATTATTCCTGAAACTCTCTGAATCTCTTAACACATAGGAGACAGATATTAATGTATAAAATACTTGAAAAAGTGGATTTTGAATAATAGGTGACCTTTAATACTGAAAGCAATGAATCACAATAATATAACCCTCATTATATACAAGCATGTATGACCTTCTTAAGATTAGATCGATAGAGGGAATACTTTTTAGAAGATCCTAAGTTAATTAAACGTGATTGAACCACATATAAGTTGGTTTTCAAAAGAAAGGTTTCTGTTGAATATTAGACCCAGGGTTTTGCTGCAGGTTTGACTTATGTAGACAGTCGAGCTGTCATCTGTAAAACTTGATGTCCTGTATATTTGTCAGTGTCAACATGCATCTGAATTAGATCTGTCCTTCCCACTGTCCCAGTCCCTGTAGACCCCAGTCTCATTATCGTGGTCCAGGCCAAAGAGGACGCCTACATCCCCCGAACAGGAGTGCTCAGTCTGCAGGAGATCTGGCCCGGGTGTGAAGTCAGATATCTGAATGGAGGACACATCAGTGCATATCTGTTTAAACAGAGTGTCTTTAGGTAAACTCCTACTCAGGAAATGTGTTGTCTCATATCACGTGGTGTGTTCCTGTGTTTGGTTGTACCTAGGTAAACTCGTGCTCACCAGAAAACAAACAGTTTGACTTGTGACACTCCCCCCTTTCTGAGCCTCCTAGTATGACCTGATGTGTTGACGTTATGTTGTTGGAGTTAATGGTCAGTAATAAGTGATATTGGTGAAGACCTGCCACATTTGTCTCTTTTCTTTCTCTGCCCAGTGGGAACAAGCCATGCTGGGATTAGAGCCTTTTAGTTTAGTTGCCAGTTTACTGAACCCGGAAATGTTGAGTCTTACGAGAGAAATGTATAAGAAGATAATAAGATAAGAAGTACTTTATTGATACCAATTTGGTAAATGTTTGTGTTGCAGCAGCATAAAAATACATTGCATTGTACAATACAATTGAAAAGAATAGAAATAAACAAGAAAGTAGAAAATATACATGTTGAATTACAAATGGAATTACAGGGGTCCCCAGCGCATAGAAACTGCCGGATGCTAACTTGCATATGTTGGGCAATTTGAACAATTATTACCTGTCGATCATTTACAAAGATACCTAATACATCTTGTTAAAGGCCAACATGATGTCTGTACACACACCAGCCAGTAACACAGTATATCATGAGTGGACAGAGTCATGAGTCTCTAACAGAGAAACAGTGTACTCGCGTCAAGTCCATTTATTCTTGAGATCATATGAATATTCTAACCTTATCAATTGAATAGTTGAAGACCTCCTGTTGTAGAGCTTGTGAAAAACAACATGCGCACACAGGATGCTACAGCTGTTATTCAATCACACATTAACCATGTGCTGTCCAGAGTTCATTTTGGCAGCTATTTTTGATTTAGTCTTTAGACGGAAATGGTTATTAGTTTTAGTCACATTTTAGTCCTTTTTATCCTTCATAGTTTTAGTCCAGTTTTAGTCGATGAAAAATCTTTACATTTTAGTCAACTTTTAGTCAAAATGTTTTTTCTCTTTAAACTAATTCAGTCGTATTTATATAAGTTATAAATAAAATATATATAATTATGTTATTATATTGTACTGTAGCCTACTTGAGTAAAATGTTGAGGTCCTTGTACTTAACTGGAGTATTTAAGTATTTTGCTACTTAGTACTTCTCCTCCACAACGGTTCAGAGGTAAATGGTGTACTTTTACTCCACTACATGTATTTAATACCTTTAGTTACTTTACAGATGTGGATGAATGATGTGAAATACAATCAAGTGTTAAATCAGACTTTAGTTCCACCTGGAGTAAATTCACAAGCTACCCTGCAGTATACAAATTCATTCAAACTAGCTGCACCTTTACCAGCTTTGAGAACACTTTCATGATCAATCATTATCAGGGTTCTTATGGTCATTAAAAACCTGGAAAAGTCATGGAAATTTAAAATGCTAATTCCAGGCCCTGGGAAAGTTATGGAAAACAATATTTTTCCCAAAGTTTTGGAAAAGTCATGGAAATGTAACTAAAGTTGCATCAAATATAATTTATATTTTATCTAATTGCCGAAATAGTAATACTATAATGATAATAAATACTGTATCGTAATGAAACGTAAAATGGCATTTAACTGAAGAGGTATTTTGCTGGTGAGAGATTTTAGTTTCTTTAGCCTGTAGGAGCTAGTAAGCCTATTTGATTTGTTTTAGATAGGCACACCATGTTTCATATGCAGACCTTATTTTCCTGTTCCATGTTAAAATAAACCATTTTCAGTGGTACGTTGAGAAAGAGTAATTTTTTTGGTCATGGAAAATTAGGTAAAGGTCATGGTCCTGGAAAAGTCATTGAAAATCATTGGTGAAAAAGTGTATGAACCCTGCATTATAAAACATATCATATATATTATTCTGAAATGGACCAATCTGCACAACGACTACTTTTACTGTCGCTACTTTCACTATATTTTGATGCTAATACTTTTTTACTTTTACTTGAGTAACATTTTGAATGCAGGACTTTTACTGTAACAGAGTATTCCTACACTCTGATCTCGTCAACAAAAACAAAATATACATTTCGTCATAGTTTTTATTATCAAGAATCTATTTTTAGCTCGTCATCGTCTCGTCTTTAGTCATGTAAAAAAAGGTCGTTGACGAACATTTTTTCGTCATAGTTTTCGTTGACGAAATTAACACTGGTGCTGTCAAACTTGGGGTGCAATTTTTGTTGAACGGTAAAAAACGAATTCAAATTTAAACCCAGACTGTGTACCGTGCTACATTTTGTGTTGTTGTTCATAGAATTGATTGCATATCTGTTTGTTTTTCAGACAGGCCATATACGATACATTCGACAGATTCTGCCTGAAGTATCCCAACCTGCACTAGACATGGCAGTCCTCCCTGAAACTGCATCAGGATCCCTGGCTGGAAAATGAATGCCTGTCTATAGACCAGCTGTCTAATGTATCACATTACCTAATTCTTGTAAGAGATGACAACTGTTGAGTATCAAATGTGTTGTTTTCCAGTCCTGCCAGTCTGTAGTTGTCAAACAACACTCAGGCCTCTAGCTTGATTTGTTAAACTGGTGTTAACAGACTGGTGAAACACCTTTAACAGTGTGACACTCTGGATGGAAACACATCCTGTAACATTCTAATGGAAAAAACAATCAAGTTAAATTCAGCTCACTGTACAGACACTTTTCTAACTGAGAATTGATTAAGGAACACTTTTAGCAGATGTCATTGTTAAGCAAATATAAATGTTATTGGTTATATTTATAATCAATACGATTTTCATAAATTCAACTCGTTTTTTATACCATTACCAAGGTAACAGAAAATGTACTGGTGGGCAATCAGTCCGAGTTGAGTCGATTGCTGTGCTTTCTAGAAGATTATGAAAACCAGGGTTTAGCATCATGTGAAAAATGAAATTGGCATAGAAAGATTCATGTGGACTATAAATCTGTATATTTCATCTTATTAATACCTATTCCACCACGAAGAAAAAGGTTTTAAAAACAATATTATCAACTGGCACATTTAAAAAAAATAATTGGGATGAAAAATCAAAAATTAAAAAATGTACTATAAATGAATTTAATAATAATTAATAATAATGCATCAAAGGTTTCCAACAACAACAACAACAACAACAAGCAAGAGACAAGACAACGTGGAAATCAAAAAGCATTACACTTTTTTGAAGTTACCCTAAAATTCAATATTTGTGTATATAACTCATCCTCAGCTACAAGGCCAGCCCGTGTGTCCACATCCTCAGGGAGGGTCTCTCCACTGTAGCACGCTGAGAGAGGAGAGAGGACGGGGCAGTAAGGAGGTCTTCAGCAGGATTGGCCATTTTGGGTTAAGTCAGTATTGTTGTATTTTCCTGTTTAGCCTCTTGATGGTGCTGTTCCTATGAATAAATACAGATAGTGATGAAAAACTGTGTTTAGGGTTAGCTTGTGTTTTGTAAAAGTAACATGACTTTGTGTGGGGTATGTACACATAACCCGTACATTCTATGAGTTAAAAGTGTGTCTCGATGACGTAAAGCAGGGGTGTCCATACTGTTTCCAATGAGGGCCATATACAGAAAAACACACTGACGGCTGGGCCCCTAGAGGTGAGGTATACTGCCTCATAAATTAAGTTATAAGTTAGCAAAATCAATCAAATGTAGGTAAATAATGCTTGATACTAGAATATGCTTTAAGAAAACAGCCTCCTTCACAGCTCTCTAGAGGGTTTACTTTATTGTGTAACTAAAAGTGTTGCAGCTCATTCCTTACAACAGAAGCCTCAGATTGCTTATAAAAAGGGGAAATATGGAGGGTCTATTTCAAGTTATGGAAATAAGTTATTCGGCTTTTTTGATCAACTAAGGTTTGTTAGAAAAATGTTTTCAACTTTAATCGATTAGATTTAGTCATGATAATACATTTGATTTTGAACGCTTTTTCAGGTGCTCAAAGACACTTGACAGTGGTATCTGCACTGAATTTATTTGACAAATTGGGCCTATTGACACATTCATTCTGAGTTTCATGTGTGGGCCATATTCCATTCGCCTATACTTTTTCAATTAGCCAATTCAAAAGGGTCCACGGGCCACAGTTGGCCCCGCAGCCTTAGTTTGGACCCCCCTGACGTAAGGTAGTTATTATTAGGTCATCTGACTGATCACAGGACAGCTGTGATAGGGTTGTAGCCTAATATGAAGAGCTGAAATGGAAGATAGGCAGCTCATTATTTTTAATCAGCTATTAATAATATTTAATTCTTGTTACTCAGCTCTCTCTGTTCCCCCTCCGTCTATGTGCCAGATATTGTACTTTGTCCACCACTACATTTAATTACCAGCTTTAGTTACTACTTCCTTCATAGGCCTACATGTTTAAGAATCATTGCAACCCACTGCATTAATAAGTTAAGCTACAGCTGTATTTCAAGTATTTAAAATGGGCTCCCCCATTCCAGCAGCGACGTTAGATGCTGAACACATTAATGCACCAATATATGTAGTCCGGGGAATAATAGGGCAGGCTATATCATTCTCAGTGAAATATCTGAGCAGTATTGCTCAACTGGAGTTGAACATTTAGAGCACGTGCTGAGGTTAACGCTGTTATCACATTTGACTGAACACGTGTGTGGTGACTTTGAAGTGGAACCCAGATTTAGAACCTCATTGTTGACATTTAATTAGTTTCGATGTTGTTGCTTGTTTATAGCTGTATAGCTGTGGAACCGGATGTGACGTGGCTGCTATATGCACCAGCTGATCGCAGCAGTAAACAGTTCGGTCATTACTGTCACTTTTTGATGAAAATCCGCAAGCACAGCAGCAACGGGTCACGCGCTACTGACAGGCCGCGGGAAATGCCGCGCGTGCAGCGGACACTGTTTGTTTTGTTTGACAGACTGCTCAGTGTCGAGGCCTACTTACGATGCTAAGCTAACCAGCTAGCTGTCACCATTCATGTAAACAAGTGGTGAAGGCAGTGGACGGTCAGGGTTAGCCCCTCTAAGCCGGACGGTGAGGACAGTGCGACCGGCCTACACTCCTCCATGTTGAGCTAATGTCTGTTCTGGTTGTCGGAAGCCTATGACTGTGACTTTCAGCAGCGATCCCGGACAGCTACAAGATGTGGATAAAGCTGTTCTTCTTGCTCTTGTATTTTATGGTGTTGTTTATGCTAGCGAGGCTCTTTGAGGCAGTGGTCTGGTATGAGACTGGGATGTTCTCCACCCACCTGGTGGACCCCGTGAGCCTCAGCTACAAGAAGCTGAAGACCATCCTGGAGAGCAGGGGACTGCCTTACTCCGGCCTGGCCGAGAAGAAGGATGTCAGCGAGCTGGTAGAGAAATCAGGTAATCATACAGTTACAATGATCCTACAGTTTATACTGGCCCAACCTACACACAAAATACTTTATGTTGAGACATTTTGGAAAATGCTTTAATAAATGATTTTACTGTAAAAATAACCTCTAAATGCAGCACTTCTTAACAAAAACAAACCATTCTTCTATACTGACTTTACACATATGAGACTAAAACATTCAGAAACATGTTTCACTTTAGGATCTGGGTGTATAAGTCTAACTCTTTGTAACTCTGGTCCCACAGGAGAGCTGACACATGGAGAGCTGTACTCAGCCATGAAGAAGGAGAAGGAGCAGACGGAGGCAGGAGACGGCAGCACCATCTTCAGTGGAGAGATGCACTTCTATGAGTTAGTGGAGGACACTAAAGATGGGATATGGCTGGTGCAGGTAATAACACTCACTAGTAGGAGATATGAATGTATTGTACGCATCTAGGTACACATATTATATTACTAGATGAGTGGAGATGAAATAGTCTTCAATAATGATTATGAAATAGCATTTTTGCTTTAAATTGCCATCCCTGGTATGAAGATGGGTCGGGTGGTTGCAATATCTCCACAGAGCCTTGATGCACTGTGGACAATTTACATTGTGCACAGTGGCCCCAAGGAGCGGGGAGAGAGGACAAAGTGCTGCAAAGCTCTAGAGCCACTAGCCACCTTCCTCCGGGACATCCCAGCAGCTTGTGGCGCCCCCCCCCACAGAGAGAATGCGCTCTGTGTTGTTACTCCTACAGTGCAAGTAGCTTAATGCGGTCACAGAGCATCCTAAACGTCTCTTTTACTCTGTTTATTGCAGTGATATGATCAGCATTAAAGTCATATCTGTCTCTCTCCCAGACGATGTATGCTGATGTGAATTACATGGTAGTATCAGGAGCTCATATCCAAGAAAGTGAACACCCTTGATTAGTGGTACTTTATTTCATATTTTAGGCATTTCACTAACTGTTGCATACTCTATCAGACAACAGTTAAGGCAGTAATGTAATCATTTCATTCCGTGGCAAAGAATGTATGACGAACTTCAGATCCATTCATGAGTGGGGCAGAACATTTAACTGCTACATGTGTCTACAGTCTATTTTCTGCAATCAGGTTCACACCTCATGGTGTTAAACCACTTCTGTCATTCATGGTTGTAGGAAGTAGAACATTGTTTGGTATTAGCTGTGTGACCCTGTCCTGTCCCGTGAACCTGCAGGTCATTGCCAAGGACCGGGAGGCCCTGCTCAGTCAGTCTAACTGGGGGAAGATGGTGCAGAAAGTGTCTCAGTTTGGGATCAGAACTGGAACCTTCAACTGCTCTAATGACTACAGGTGGGATGCAGGGCCTACTTCAAATTCACATAATGACACATAATGCTCATCTGGCAGAAGCATGTGGAGCAATTGTGTTAGTAAGACAATTACATTTCTTCTTATTTGTTTGAGATGTTCTAATGTTCATCTTTCTCTACCTCTGAAGGTTTTCTTTTTGTAGTAAAACTAGCTAATGAGATATTTGAGCTATAGACAAAATTCAAATGCCACAAGTTCGGTATTAAGTAGAAGATGCTATCGCCATTACTGAAAAAATAAGGCACATTTTAGTCCGACCATAAATCCTGTATGTAATTCCATTGTCGGTTGATACCATTTGATTTTGTATTGACTATAGGTCTGCCAAACTTAGGAAAGCTATAGGGGATGCTACGGCATCATCATGAATTCGTCGTGGACAGCTAATCAAATATTTAAGGGCTCAGAATCAGAACCAAGTTTATTGCCAGGTACGTTAACACATGCAAGGAATTTGCTTTGGTATCTGCTGATGCGAACAACTAAGATGGCGCTGCGGATGGCTGCTTAACTAGAATTTTGAGAAATCTACCTAACTTACATTTTTTTTTTAATTGGAACGTAAATATTGTATTTATTTACTGATTGCTGATTGATTCCTCCCCATATGTGTAATATAAAAAGTAGCTGACCAAAAATAGGCCAGTTTGTAATGAATGAAGACTTCAAACCATTTCAGTTTGCCTTCATTCACACACTCTGTCTTCTCCTCATTCACATACAGCAATCTCCCGTATATCTATTTCAGTATCACAGTATCACCTCATACTGTAAGAGTTGTTGCATTAGAAAGACCATCCACTGGGCAACAGAAATAATATATGAAAAAGCCCGATATTTCTTCTTTTGTTTTTGTCGGCAACCTGCCATGTTGTAAACCAAGTGATGAACAGGACCATTGATGTGGGGCTGTCAGTGTGGGGCGGGGGGGGGGAACCATCCAGCAGTTGTCAGCTTCCACACATTATGTCTTCCTGTCTGTAGGAGAGTAGGTGTGTGATTGTATACTGACATGGTGCCTCTCTGCTCTGTCACCAGGTCCTGTATCAAGCGTGGCTGGCAGCGCTCCACTCTCATCATGTCCGTTCCTCAGACTTCAGCATCAAAGGGCAAAGTCATGCTTAAAGAATACAATGGCCGTCGCATTGAACCTGAACACATCTTCCGCTGGATGACCTCACATGTGGCTCATCGAATCAAAACACTGCATCAGTCTGAGCAGCTGGTGGAGGAGTGGCGCTCTGACCCCGCCCACCCGGTGAAGATGTTCCTGTTCGCCTGCCTGCCCCAGCCCCCCGCCTTCTTCTCTGCGCTGTCCGTGAAGTTTACTGGAAGGATCGAGTTTGTTTTCGTGGACGTACATCACTGGGAAAACCACAGCAGCCTATCAGAGATAGATGTGACACAGAGCCCCGCCTACATTCTCAAGATGCCTGAGGGCATCTATCGCTATGGCAGCAGGTGCAGATTAAACATTTTAAATTCTAATGAGTTATTGTACATAAAAAGTAATACAATTTGTTCCACTCCTCTCCTTTTCTCCTTCACTCTTCTTCTTTTTGTCTTCTCCTCTCCTTCACTCCCCCCCACCCTTCACTCCTCCTTTACTTCTCCCCTCCTTCATTCACTCCACCCCTTCACTCCTATCCTTAACTTCTCCTCTACGGAGTGTGGACTGGTAGCTGGAGAGGTTCCAGTTCACCTCCTGGGCCCTGCCAAGGTGCCCTTGAGCAAGGCCCCCCACCTGCTCCGGCGAGCTGGCTGCCCTTTCACTCTGACACCTCCCCTATCCTACATGTGTGTAAACACCAAAATTTAAAAAAAGTAATTTCCCTGTTGGAGATTAATAAAGTATGTTTTTGTCTTCTTCACCCCTCTTCCTTCCTTTTCTGCTCTTTGTCTCCACCTCTTCTTTACTCTTCTTCATATTTTCTTCAATTGTCTGGTAATGATTTTTGAAGCCAAGGCAGATTGGCTCCTCCTCACTAACACTAAGAACGTGGATCAGTCCAGTTCTGAAGTCTTTACACTGGTTCCTCTAACACTAAGAAAGTGGATCAGTCCTGTTCTGAAGTCTTACGACTGGTTCCTCACTAACACTAAGAACGTGGATCAGTCCAGTTCTGAAGTCTTTACACTGGTTCCTCTAACACTAAGAAAGTGGATCAGTCCAGTTCTGAAGTCTTTACACTGGTTCCTCACTAACACTAAGAAAGTGGATCAGTCCAGTTCTGAAGTCTTTACACTGGTTCCTCACTAACACTAAGAAAGTGGATCAGTCCAGTTCTGAAGTCTTTACACTGGTTCCTCACTGACACTAAGAAAGTGGATCAGTCCAGTTCTGAAGTCTTTACACTGGTTCCTCACTAACACTAAGAAAGTGGATCAGTCCAGTTCTGAAGTCTTTACACTGGCTTCCTCACTAACACTAAGAAAGTGGATCAGTCCAGTTCTGAAGTCTTTACACTGGTTCCTCACTAACACTAAGAAAGTGGATCAGTCCAGTTCTGAAGTCTTTACACTGGCTTCCTCTGGATCAGTCCAGTTCTGAAGTCTTTACACTGGTTCCTCACTAACACTAAGAAAGTGGATCAGTCCAGTTCTGAAGTCTTCACACTGGTTCCTCACTAACACTAAGAAA